TACCACCATGACATTCAGTGAAAGTCACAACTATTTAGTCTGTTAGTTGCCCATCCTATGTTACGGTGACATTCAGATTGAATATATAAAGAGAATCACCAAGTAATAGATGCCTTTCATCAAACTTCCTACCAATATGATTAATTGCAGAATTTGCATGCATTTAATATGATTTTATTCCTAAAGAATTTGTTCCCTTGTACCTTTTAGCCTGCTTTCACTTTTCAGGTACGGTTCGTTTACGCCGTCCCTCGAATCATGCAAAGAATGGTAAAGGAGGCTGTGTCTGAGAAATACGACCTTACGAACATTCGACATGTAGTCGTTGGAGCGGCTCCCGTTGGCCAAGAGCTCTGCAAAGAATTCGTGGCCAAGTTTCCGCACGTATCCACTGTTAGTCAAGGTCTGAGAAGCCGTTTAATCGTAGCTTTGCTTCGCCGTGTTTACTTTACCTGTAGGCTATGGCTTAACAGAAACAGCGGCCGCCACAAACATGACCCCGGCTTTGCCTATCACTGATGCGAAATTCAATAGCTGTGGCATTTTGACGCCTTTCTTTGAGTGCAAGGTACTTTTGAAAATTTCACCGCCTCAGAATATGACCATAAATGTTTAGATTATTGATTTAAAAACTGGCGAGGAATTGAAACACAATGAACAAGGAGAGCTGTGCTTCAAAGGTCCGTTGTGCACTCTGGGATACTATAAAAACGCAAAGGCTACTGCTGAGCTCTATGACAAGGACGGATGGTTACACACAGGTGCCAAATCGGCAGTAGCCTTTTGCTGTGCTATCGCTATTTTGTAGGTGATATCGGCTACTACGACGAAGACGAATTTTTCTACATCGTTGACCGTTTAAAGGAACTGATCAAAGTAAAAGGGTTCCAGGTACATGTTGGCTGTCACTGATATGATTGTGATTTTTTTGCAGATTAAAAAAATCATTTTCTCTTTATTATATGTAATTAATTAGTGGGTGATCAATATTTTGAGCAGTTTGCAGAGGCAGAACATTCTAGTTTACGAGTTTTGCTGTGTTCGCAGTTTTACAACACCTAAATAATGTGAATTATCTTAAGTATTAAGTACTGTGGATCCTCAACCAACTGAATTGAATATATCATATTTTTGGTTTGCACCTTGTGTAAGTAATCATACAGGATAATCGGCTATCAGTTTGGTCAGGACGAATGTTAACGTGACAAGCGCTCTCTTCAGACAGCCTGACCGCACCTATTGCTCTATTCTGGCATGACCACACAAGAACATCGCGTTGTCCCTCTTGTTCGCAAATATTTCGCTATTAACTGTAAGACGCAACCTGATGTGAGTTTATTGTAAGATGTTAAGTGAAACTGAATTCGCACCTTTGGAATTCGAAGCCGACCTCATTCCGCTATTCTACCGCGCCTAAATATGGAGTTGTCTATTTTTTAGATTTCATTGCTGCTTATTTTCTCCCCTTTCTAATCAGCTGTTATTTTGACCTTTAAAACAAGCTTAACGAAATAACATATGATCCTGAATATACACGGAGTGATATACCAAAGGTTATGAATTAAGGTATCATCAGTTAAAGTTCAGTTGAACATCAAACAAAACGTACTTGACAATTTCATCATGCACAAAATTTTCAAAATAACTCGAATCAATGAACCAAGATTGTTCACTAACAGCGGTTTTGAAAGTCAGACAAAGTCAAGGAACTAACAAGGTTGAGGTTGCACGTGATCGTCTTCTCCCGTACAGTAAGATAAGATGAAAGTTAGGAAGGATATTCTGCAAAATTTCCATTTCCACCTCATCTAACAAATGGAGCAAATTGCACTAACACATTTCACCTGAATCTCTTACACCAACCGGTAATAGGCAACAAATCACGCCAGTCGAAGACGCCTGACATTCCTCTCGGTTTCCAGCATTTTTTTTCAAAGTGCAGCCTTCCGTCCACCCCGCGGCCTGGTTTGCCTGAGAGGCTACAAGTCGGCGACTATCGTCTGTCATCTCCCCTCGTTGAGCCGAGCTGTGTGACCAGCCTACCACAAATTCCCATTCATACATTCGACAGTGACTTCCTTCATACATATCCACTATCTGATCACCGTATTGGGGATGCGATCGCGACACGAAATTCCGACATTCTGCCTTTCAGTGCTCTCTCTCTGACCGATGGTTGGCGCTCGTCAGCTTTACTGAATGATTCAGGTCTCACAGCCATAAAACAGTAGGACTGAAGAGGTATGGGTGAGTTTCTCTCCTCATGTTGTTTAAGGAGGTGTTATTAGGATGGAGTGGAACGCACGCCAACCAGCCCTCGTTCTTCGTTCAATCTCCCCAGCCTGATTAAGCTGCATGTTGATCGCACGGCCAGAATAAACGCATTTATCTACTTTCAATTTTATCGCCGTTTATTGGGGTATTCGGACAAGGAATTCAAGCGCCGTATCGTCGTCTTCAACTTGTTGATTTACAGTCTGACTTCTACACTTTTTCTATCGAGCTCTTGCAGCACGTCTTGTTAGCCGACTGCCCTTTTCCGCAAACAACACCATGACATCAGCAAATAACAGGTGGCTGAGCTGTTTACCATCTACCATTGATAATCTCACCCTTCAAGTCCTCTGGAACATCATTTTCAAACAGACGGTAAGAGCTCAGGGGAGATGATGTCCCTTTGCTTCACGCTATTCTTTATGATAATCCAATGCGTGTCCACTAGCGCCATGTTTTGAAGTAGCCAGAGTTCGGTCCCTCTACCAGATTGATGTAACGGTTGTCGATGCTCAGTTCTGCACGCGCGTTCCTCACTCCGTTGTGCCTTAAAGAGTCGAAAGTTTTCTAATAGCCGACGAAGGCTATGCAAAGAAGGCGCTGCCACTTCCTCGTGCATTAAAGAGTTGATTTAAGTTGAAGGTGTTATTCCTTGTGGTATGCTTCAGAATCCTGCCTGGCAGGTGTTCGTCCATCGTATTGACAATCTGTTGATGATGATCTTAGTGAATAGCACGTGGATTGTGAGAGAAGACAGATTAGGCAATAGTTCTTCAAAATTGTTTCCTCACATTTTCTGATCAACACAACTGTTTTTGAGTCCGTATTTTTTTGCGATATCAAGTATCTGCTGAACCTCTCCGCTAGAACCCTCTACAGCGTCTGATCACCCACCTACATGGTCATTTAAATTGTCAGACTGCTTCTATTCGCTAAAGAGGATCGGTAGTGCATTGTCGTTGGGCTGTTAGAGCGATGGTGGACGGAGCAGTCGCGTTTCTCTGACGCAAAGAGGTGAATGAAAAAGTTCTTGCAGATGCACTGCACCTCAGCTCTGGTGGACTGACATGGTAGTTATTCTCGTCCGGTCCGAGGCTTATGCAGTATACCGTTCTTTCCTCCAATTTTCGTAATTAGAAGGTATCGAGATGCTCCTACAGCTTTTTTCTGATGTGCTTGCATAGAAAAGCATTCTCTACCGTGTTAGCCTCATCTCTGTTCATCTGTTTCCTCTTCTCTAGCAAACTCGTTATTTGTTCTGAGTGCTTTCCTTTCGCCTTCTCTGTTCTTACGCTGATCCTCAGTGTTTCAGGGAACTTCTCATAGTTCTTGTCGCAGCTGCCTTTCAGATTCAAGCCCTCGCTGGAGATGAACGCTTGGTGCATCACCTCTTCGAATACCTTCGGTCGTTGTCTGCAATTTTCTATCTACAATGTTTTGTTCTCGATCTTCTCCTCGAAAGTCCGTTGTCACTGTTTGTGTTAAATCTACTACGTTTCAGATGGTGTAGCGTTTGCTGAAAAGAAATAAGTCGATCTAGTTCCTCGTTGCCGGCTTTGGCCGCGATCCATGTTCATCTCTTGCTGGCTTTCGTTTGAACCAGGTTTTGCTGCTGTACAGATGTTTCGTTTCTTCCGTGGCTACCAGCCGAATTCCTGGTCATTTTTCTCACCAGTGCCGTACCTACCGACAAACTTTTCAGTGGCCTTTCCTCGTCTGAACTTGGCATTGAAGTCTTCCATAAAGAATGTATACGTGGACTTTGGGATTAATGCCTGTTCCACTTCTCTGTAGAATTCTTCCACTTCCTCCTCACCGTTTGCACTGGTAGGAACATAGGCTTGAACGATCTTCAACGTCTTCTTTCTGTTCAGTTGAAGGCACTGTAAGCTCAATTTTGGTGACTTTATATGGCAGGAGACGATTTCGAGGATTGGCTTTTGCTGACCAATGATCTGATTCCTCTCATGTCTTTCGAGCCATCCTCTTCCTGGCGAAATAAAAGTACCATCTTTCCGCATATCATTCATATCCTTTCATTATGTCTCTCAGAGGCCACTGATGTTGTAGCCCATCCCTACCTTTTTTCTAATTAAATTAAACTAATTTCCTCTAATTAGAGGAGGGAAGTAAATGCAGGATAGAGGTCTTTCACACAAATTTATTAGCATCCAGTCGTTGGTAAAATAGCAAACTGCCCCATAGAGCGGTGATAGCCGCGTAACGTACTAAGGCCGATTTTTTGTGTTGTCATAGAGCATAAATATTCGTAAATTTAGGCTTAGAAATTTTTTACACTCGGGACCCTAATCACTTTCGGCCATTTATCGAAGCTTTTTCTTATAGTATTTGAAGAACGGACGTCTAACTGCAAGGCAGGTGACATTCGCGGCCTTTTATCTTCAAAGAAGTTAGTCACTTTCACCTCGATAGGAGACGGCCATTAAGCATTGTAACTTTTCCTTCCAGGAGTGGACATATCGAGCTGGATCCCAGCCATGCCGTAGTGCTCTCAACGCTGACTCTTTGTGACTGCTTATTTATCACAGCTAGCATCAATATCTGGAGGTTATTCCCCTATACGAAACTCGGTGAAGCGTAGATGGTATAATTCTCCAAAGAAGCAAAAAATATTATAATTGTGGAACTCTCTAAACAATGGTCCAAATCTCTGTAGAACAAAATTTATGCTCTTAAATTATGTTTCCTGACAAAGAAAGCATCAGGTAAGAAGAAAGTTTGAGCAAAGTTACAAGTAGCCAATAGTTCTTGAGTAATGTATTTTGCAATCGTCGCAGTTTCTTTATTGAGTATACGTGCTGCGCCGTAAACATATCCAACGATACATCTCTGAAGCCATTTGTAGGTGAATGCCAAAGATATATGGAAAGAACCACCAATTAGGCTGCCACTATTAGTTGATTGCTAATTTAAGCAGCATGCACCATACAATTACCGATGCAAAATATCTTATTAGTATCATTTCTTCGCATGCCGGATCAACCTAACTGGCTCGCTCCTCTCGTTCATTCCTTTCCAATAAAATTTACATGAAAATATGTTCATATATACAAAGTGTTTCACACCAACCTTCGCATTCTCAATAAGTTCTTCAGATATTTTCGAGGTTTATGCTTATAAATATTACAAATTTGTAGGTAACTCCGTCAGAATTAGAGGAAGTTCTTCTGACTCACCCTAATATAGAAGAAGTTACTGTCATTGGCATACCAGATTCAGAGAAAGGAGAGCGACCTTTTGCGTATGTTATTGCCAAGAGTTCTTTGACGGCTGAAGAGGTGGCTGAATATTTGAGCAGTAAAACAGATATTGCTAGTTTTACGTGTTGAACTGAAGCATTTTTTCTAGAATCGGTCGCCCCTATCAAACGGATATCACCAAAGGACGTAGCATTCGTTGAATCTTTGCCGAAAACTAGCCTAGGCAAACCACAACGGAGGATGCTTCAGAAGATGCACAATATGCATTCCGTCAGTACCTTGAAATCGAAGATTTGAATTTTTGAATGATAGTGCGCCTAAATTAAAACAAATTCAGAAAACAATTGCTTTTCATGGGACATCTCCATTCATCGCTGATAAATGCTTACAGTTGCTAACCTAAATTTCAAATGATTGTTACCTATTTGATTATAAGATTACTGTACATATGTTCTGAAGAAAAGGGGCACAATAAATGTTTTTGAATTTTTCTTTACATTTTGAACAGGCATTTTTTAATTTTGATGTTTTGACACAAATACTATGCTAACTGATCTAACAGAAACTTACAATTACTACTACAGTAAGAACAATACTAACCAGATTGCCAGGTTGTATGCTACACACAGTTTTATAGACTTACTGTATAAATGGAATCACAAAATGAATCAGTCATTCAGCAGAATCATTCTGAAAGTGTACCATATAGCATGGGAAAGTATGCAACGTTAAAATAAATGCAATACTTAGCTCAACGACAATG